TGAAAAATGTTGGTCAGAGGTGAAGAAGTATCTAGAAATATGGTCAAAATTGAAGTTATCATTGCTTGGCCGAATTGCTGCGATAAAGATGAATGTACTGCCTAGAATGTTGTTTTTGTTTCAAACATTACAAATTGTGGACAAAATGGACTGTTTCAAGAGGTGGCAAAGAGACATTTCCAAATTTATCTGGCAGGGCAAAAACCTAGAATAAAATTTAAGATATTAACAGATGCAAAGGAAAGAGGGGATTTGCCCTGCCAGATTTTAAACTTTACTATGAATCAGCCGCTTTTTGTTGGCTGAAAGATTGGCTACTTCTTGAAAATGTGGACATTTTAGATCTAGAAGGTTTTGATAACGTTTTTGGATGGCATGCATATTTATGGTATGACAAAGTTAAAGCGCATAAGGCCTTTAAGAACCATATTGTCAGGAAAGCATTGTTTAATGTTTGGGTGAGATACAAGGATTTGTTGGAAAGTAAAACACCAAGGTGGCTGTCACCAATGGAGGCAAAGGCATTGAAAAAAACTAATATGGAGACAAACTGGCCAAAATATTGTGAAATTTTAGAACAAGTTGGAGATAAATTAAAATTGCAGAGTTTTGACAAATTAAAAACCAAAGTTCGAGATTGGCTGCATTATTATCAAATAAGGGAGGTTTTTAACTTAGACAAAAAGATTGGTTTCCAGGAGGAAAAATCTAAACTGGAAACGGAATTGCTAGAACCTAAAACTAAAAATTTGTCAAGAATGTATAATCTGCTGTTGAAATGGAATACACAGGATGAAATGGTTAAATCTGTTATGATTAAATGGGCGCAAGATGTTGGGCATAACATTATGTTTGCTGACTGGGAACGGTTATGGACCACAGGTATGAAATTTACGGCTTGCAATGCTTTAAGAGAAAACATAATGAAAATGATTTACAGGTGGTACTTAACCCCAGTCAAGCTAGCAAAAATTTATCATTTGCCTGATAATAAATGTTGGAAATGTAAAGAAAACGAAGGTACTTTCTTTCACCTTTGGTGGACGTGCCCAAAGATCAAGGCATTCTGGGAAATGATATATAATGAATTAAAAAGGTATTGAAATATACTTTTTAAAGAAACCAGAGGCCTTCCTCTTGGGCATGGTCGGCCAATTGGTGCGAAGGGAAGATAGAACTTTTTCATGTATGCGACAGCAGCAGCAAGAATACTTATTGGGAAATACTGGAAGACACAAGAATTGCCTACCCGAGAAGAATGGCAGAGAAAAGTGATAGACTATATGGAACTGGCTGAGATGACCGGAAGAATTCGAGATCAAGAAGAAGGGTCGATGGAGGAAGATTGGAAAAAGTTTAAAACATATCTTCAGAACCACTGTAATATAAAAGAATGTTAGGAAAGGTTGGAGAAGAAATATTAGACCGTATTGGCAGACAGAGTATAATGGAATTAAGTAAATATGAAGTGTATATTAAAAGATAGAGGAGAATTAAATATTTTTGAATGTTAAAATGTTAAAATAAGCAAATGAAAAGAAGGCTAGAAGGATTTGCTGGAGATACAATTTCAATTAGAATACAAAGCAGAGAAGTGGGAGGAAGTCACGGAAATAAGTAAATGGGAAAACGGTTTGTTTAATTTGAATTTTTCTTTTGTTATTTTTTATTGCGATTTTTTGTCTTGTATATTTTTTTTCTTGTATGGTGTGTTTCTTTTGTAAGATGTATGTGATTGGTTTTTCTTGCTTTATTTTTTCTTTTCTTGTAATCTTAAAATTTGAATAAATATTTTAAAAAAATAAAATAGAAATTCTAAGAAACCAAAACATCAGTGCAGAAAGGTTCAGTCTACCATCTTGATTCAAAATGATATCCAGTTGTATCCTAGCAGATGTAAACCTGCTCCTTTAACCCAGGAGCCATGGTGCAAAATTTGGTTGCAATCTCTTACGAGGTGTTCAAATGCATAGTGAACAAATAACTTTCCAAAATATACAGTAGACCTTCATCCATTTTTTAAAAAAAGATTGTGAGTGTGTGGCGGGGGAAGTATTGTATATGGCTTTGGCAAACAGGGATAACAATTTTATCAGTGTGCACATTTTGTATGATTTGCACAGAAATAGCAAATGTCAAGCTTTTGTTACTGGGTAGTTCTGGCAAAGAGTGCACACTGTAGGCTGGTGAGGTGGTAAAATGCTAGGGGTTTTTTGGCTTTCTTTTCTCATCTGCTCAGCATTCATTCTTCTTTAAACAATTCTCATTAGCCCTGCTGCCTGCTTTCACCCCTGAACCTCTCTTCTCTGCCTGGAGTGCAATTCTGACACTAGCCTCAGCTGGTCTCTCTGCTTTATGATTCTGTCCTGTCCCTATGATGAAGGGCTGGCAGAAAATGGATTGGGATTTTCTTGTGGATCTGTACATGATTCACAGTACATCAGCAAGGGTTTCCAATTTCCAATTGTTTAATAATAGCAACAACCAAATGAGTTTCCCAACCTAAATTGGGCTGTTTGAAGAAAGCTAATCAGGAACAGAATTCTGTGTGGAAGCACTGTAAGCTCTGTTCAGTTTCGTTACTGAAAATGAATTCCCAGACTCAGAATGTTTTCAGAGATATATTCTTTTTTAGATTCTTACTATGGAGCTAAGTTCAAGGTGCTTGCACTGGTGGGCAGACCCCTCTTCTGTTTGAAACCAGGATACCTAACAGATTGTCTCACTCTTTATACACCCAATTGATCACTGTGCTGTGCAGTAGAGGGGCTTCCTGGAGGTACTATCTTATCAGGAAGTCCAGTCTGCACAGTATAGAAACCAGGTTTTTTGTGCCACAGCTCCAGCGCTTTGGCACTCCCTCCCATTAAATGGGAGAAATATCTGCTTGTATTTCTGGAGTCCACTGAAGACCTTCCTCCTTCAACAAGCCTTTATGTAGGGCTCTCTCCTAGCTTGCATCTGTATTGGAATTGTTTAAAAATATTTTTTTAGATGTTGTATTTGTTGTTTCCCACCCTGGGCTCCTTTGGGGGGAAGTTTTAATAGAATAAAACCAGTCTCAAGTCTGCCTGTGCTACACTTTGTCATTGGCTACATTGCAATTGGCTTTGAAGACCTAGGTTTTTCAGGTCCCTCAACCTGGGATGCAACATCATACTTCAAAAAGTCAGCCAAACAAAGTTTGAACTTTACAAACAAAATCAGCACCAATTTTAGGCTTGTGTTAATCAGTCATCACCTTAAAGTTGTAAAAAAATAACATTTCAACAGTAAAACTTTTTTTTTAACAAAAGAAACAAACTCTGTCAGCTCACAATAATGGGGAGGGGGGAAACAAACAATTATCTATCATATGTCTATCTATTCCCGTTCCCTACTCCTTGGTTGACATTTGAAGATATCTACATTACACTATTGTATGCCTGCATAAAATTGCATCTTTATACCAATCATTAACATTTCATTTCCTTATAATAAATCATTTTAACAGGTATAATAAAAAGGATGCATTCAGATCTGTTGGAATTTTCAACAGGAAAGAGGCAAATTGAGCAGTGGTGTCACTATTATCATATTAAAAGCATTCTTTTGACGAGAACAAAGAGATATTTTACATTTAAAACCTTTTTGAAGGCTAAGACTATGGCATCTATTTAGCTCGTAGCTGACATTCCCTCGCCCATCCGTGCCTAATAACTCCAGCCAATGGAGGCTGGTAGAACCTAGACCTGGTGGGGGCACCTATGAGGTCAAGTGTGCAGTGCCTAGGAGGCGACATTTGCGGTGCCAAGTGTCCATTGAGTAATTTTGGTGTTATACTCAGTCTATCACGTCATGGCTTGTTTCTTTGTCCAATGCAACATAATCTCTTGTAGGAGGCACTGGCTTCAGCCCAAGACTGGGGGACCCAGTGTCGTGTCATCTATGTGGCTCCTCCTCTCTCACACTCAGGAGGAGCCTGCCACTGATGTTGCACCACATGTGGCTCAAAATAGGGAAGGCTGAGCCCCCTGCTAAATATATATTGAGAGGGTGGAAGACATCTCAGCGCAAAGGAGTTGGCACATATGTACAGAATGGAGGGGAGTGAAAGGAGGGGAGGTAACGAAGAGGTGAAAGATTGGTTCCTGCCCTTGGGGCTATGCAAAAACTGCCCCATTTGACCCCACCCCTACAGTACTTAGACCAGGCATGTCCAAAGTCCATTTCGGGGGCCTAATCTAGCCAGCCGGCCGGTTTAATCCGGCCCCCATGGCAATTTATTTCCGGGGTAAAATCCTAAAAAACCTCAACAACTTCAATCCTGAAGAAAGGTTAACAACTTTGGTTGGCCCTTTGGTCGGCCCTCACGGCCCTTCACTTCATCAAATCTGGCTCTCTTTGAAAAAAGTTTGGACACCACTGAAGAGTTAAAGTCAAAGAGTTCCAAGAGAAGCAGAGACGGGGGTGCTGGATGTCCGGAGTTTCAGTCTCTCCCGTGCTGCAGAGTGTGTGTCTATACTGGATCACATGCTTTGTGTGTTGACATTCCATTCTTTGGAAGCGAGGGAACAGAAGGAACTGTGCGCCACTTCCGTCTTCTTTGTTCTGTGTTCTGTTCTGTTGTTGTTCTCTCTCGGAGGACCACCCCCCCATGCTGCTTCCGTTGGAAAAGGGGTGTTGTTTAAGTAGCTCGGTCACCCCGCCCCTTCCCATTGTGCCCTGCCATGTTCCCCAGAAGGGTTCAGGTGAGTGCAAAACGCCTTAGGGCGCAGCAAGCTAGGGGGGCAGGGGGAGGATGCAATGCCAGTGTGATGATGGAGGGGGAGACAGCAGGCAGGGAAGCTGCTGGGCAGGTGGGGGAGGGAGAATGAAGGGAGGTGGGTGTGCAGCTGAGGGGGCCCCCCTCCCATTTCGAGTATTCCAAATAGCAATATGGATACTATAAACACATGCAGAAAGACAAACGTATTTTACCACTCTACTTCCCATGTTAATCACAACAATATACAACACAATACAATAATAATACCTTTATTGGCATTTCAAGTTAAGACATTCCAAAATGGCTTGAGATACAAAGTCTTTCTTCTTCCTGTTTCCTGTTTCCAAGAGATTTGAATGGGGAAATCCTTTCAATTCTTCAATAATAAGAGGCAGTGGGGGAGGGAGGCCAGGGCCACATCCACACCATTTAACGTGCTATGAAGCCACTTTAAACACTCATGGCTAAACACCCCCAAAGACTCTGGGAGCTATAGTTGGAAAAGGGTGCCAAGAGTTGTTAGGGGACCCCGTTCCCTGCCAAGAAGGGAACCCTACCTCTACCCCTACCCCTACCCCTGACGCTCACCCTAACTCTAGCCCTAACACTAACCTTTAAGCCTTAACTAGAGCTACAATTCCCAGAGTTCCTGGCAAAAAGGGAACCCTAACCCTAATCCTAACCCTGCCCCCTAACTAGAGCTACAATTCCCAGAGTTCCCTGCCAAGGGAACCCCAACCCTACCCCTGCCCCTGACGCTAACCCTAATTCTAACCCTTAGCCTTAATTAGAGCTACAATTCCCAGGGTTCCCTGGCAAGAAGGGAACCCTAACCCTAACCCAAACCCTAACCCTAACCCTAACCCTAACTAGAGCTACAATTCCCAGAGTTCCCTGGCAAGAAGGGAACCCCAACCCTACCCCTGCTCCTGACGCTAACCCTAACTCTAACCCTTAACTAGAGCTACAATTCCCAGAGTTACCTGGCAAGAAGGAACCCTACCCCTACCCCTACCCCAACCCCTACCCTACCCCTAGTCCTAATACTTAACCACCATAACAAGTCTCCGTCCCCTTAACCACCTACAGTTCCCAGAATCCCTGAGGGGAAGCCATTCCTGTTCAAAGTGTCTTCATAGACCTTTCAGTGGACGGTGCACCTAATGTGGCCTAATGTTTCCTCCCTCATTTTCTTCTCTCTCCCCACTGCCCCATCACTTGCAATGCAGCAGGTGTCCGCCTGCAGTCTCCCTTCAAAGCTCCTTCTCTCAGGTATGGCCACGGCCTTGTCCATTGCTCGCTGCCAGTATTTCACGTTCACTTCTTCCTGTTTTCTGTTTCCTGTTTCCAAGAGATTTGAATGGGGAAATCCTTTCGATTCTTCAATAAGAGGCAGTGGGGTGAGGGAGGCCAGGGCCACATCCACACCATTTAACGCGCTATGAAGCCACTTTAAACACTCATGGCTAAACACCCCCAAAGACTCTGGGAGCTATAGTTGGAAAAGGGTGCCAAGAGTTGTTAGGGGCCCCCTGTCCCTGCCAAGAAGGGAACCCTATCTCTACCCCTACCCCTACCCCTGACGCTCACCCTAACTCTAGCCCTAACACTAACCTTTAAGCCTTAACTAGAGCTACAATTCCCAGGGTTCCCTGGCAAGAAGGGAACCCTAACCCTAACCCTAACCCTGCCCCTAACTAGAGCTACAATTCCCAGAGTTCCCTGGCAAAAAGGGAACCCCAACCCTACCCCTGCTCCTGACGCTAACCCTAACTCTAACCCTTAACTAGAGCTACAATTCCCAGAGTTCCCTGGCAAGAAGGAACCCTACCCCTACCCCTACCCTACCCCTACCCTACCCCTACCCCAACCCCTACCCTACCCCTAGTCCTAATACTTAACCACCATAACAAGTCTCCGTCCCCTTAACCACCTACAGTTCCCAGAATCCCTGAGGGGAAGCCATTCCTGTTTAAAGCATCTTCATAGCACTTTCAATGGACGGTGCGCCTAATGTGGCCTAATGTTTCCTCCCTCATTTTCTTCTCTCTCCCCACTGCCCCATCACTTGCAATGCAGCAGGTGTCCGCCTGCAGTCTCCCTTCAAGGCTCCTTCTCTCAGGTATGGCCACGGCCTTGTCCATTGCTCACTGCCAGTATTTCACGTTCACTTCTCCAATGTAAATAGGGATGTCCTGCGGTTCTCTTGATGACTTTGAAGGCTGGACTTGGGGAAAACCTCACCAGCTCCAAACATCCCTGTAAGGCAAAGGCAAACAGGTGAGTGGGATAGCCAACACCCGACAGCGTCCCCCCAGATTCCTCCTCTGTTTGGCTGCCTGTTAACAAACAAGGCTTCCAAACCAGTTTACATCCATCTCAGCCAGCGTAGCCTTGCAACATCCACTAGCTTGAATGCAAACTCTTCCAACAACCATCCACCAGCTGCAACCACGTCAGGTCCATTGCCAGACATCAACCAGCTTCAGAGCTGAGTGTCAGTTGCCTTCAAGTAGCGATCCCACCAGCAACTAAACTTTGTACTTACCTTCTCCTTTCTCCACAGCATCTCAGCACCGGGTGATTGCCTCCTTCCGCTTGCCAGCTTGCCAACACGGGGCGGGAGACCACCAGGGCCACAGCATCCCAGAGCCGGGCGATTGCCTCCTTCCACCTGCCAGCTTGCCGCCACGGGACAGGAGACCACCTGGGCTGAGTGCCACCGAGCTGCCCATTTCTCTCTGGGGAGGGCAACTGCTGAGGCTTGTGCCTTGGCCCACATTTATACCCGCTCAGCAGCCAAATGTTTTTGTCACATCACAATCAACCCACGGACAATGGCAGCAGCTGGGGAGGCATCACCATCACTCCCTCAGCCCTCACAATGGTGAGCACAGCTCAGCAGCCAACACACACACACACACAAGTTGTGCCAATATCTGTGAAGGTCACACCGGAAACCCAAAGGGGCAGGAGGGGGACATTTTTCAGCCCAGTGGTTACATTTCCCTCCACACAACACTAGTCCAATACACAAATGAACAGAGCAATGAAAGGAAGCCTTATCTTTGCGCAGGAAGTTGTTCAAGGAATGACATGCAGAGAGAAAGTTAGCATCTCAGGAAAAAAACACTTTTTCATCAGTCAATCAATCAATCAATCAATCATTTATTGTATTTGACTAAAACCCATTATAAATCCAGTTACAAAAGCACCAAACCCAATGACCCAAACTATGGCTCCCAGATTCTTGGGGGGAAGAAGCCAGGTGGATGCCATGTGAACTCAGCGATGTGCCTCAGCAGTTGCCCTCCCCAGAGAGAAATGGGCAGCTCGGTGGCACTCAGCCCAGGCGGTCTCCTGTCCCGTGGCGGCAAGCTGACAGGTGGAAGGAGGCAATCGCCCGGCTCTGGGATGCTGTGGCCCTGGTGGTCTCCCGCCCCGTGCTGGCAAGCTGGCAAGCGGAAGGAGGCAATCACCCGGTGCTGAGATGCTGTGGAGAAAGGAGAAGGTAAGTACAAAGTTTAGTTGCTGGTGGGATCGCTACTTGAAGGCAACTGACACTCAGCTCTGAAGCTGGTTGATGTCTGGCAATGGACCTGACGTGGTTGCAGCTGGTGGATGGTTGTTGGAAGAGTTTGCATTCAAGCTAGTGGATGCTGCAAGGCTACGCTGGCTGAGATGGATGTAAACTGGTTTGAAGCCTTGTTTGTTAACAGGCAGCCAAACAGAGGAGGAATCTGGGGGCGCTGTCGGGTGTTGGCTATCCCACTCACCTGTTTGCCTTTGCCTTACAGGGATGTTTGGAGCTGGTGAGGTTTTCCCCAAGTCCAGCCTTCAAAGTCATCAAGAGAACCGCAGGACATCCCTATTTACATTGGAGAAGTGAACGTGAAATACTGGCAGTGAGCAATGGACAAGGCCGTGGCCATACCTGAGAGAAGGAGCCTTGAAGGGAGACTGCAGGCGGACACCTGCTGCATTGCAAGTGATGGGGCAGTGGGGAGAGAGAAGAAATGAGGGAGGAAACATTAGGCTACATTAGGCGCACCGTCCATTGAAAGTGCTATGAAGATGCTTTAAACAGGAATGGCTTCCCCTCAGGGATTCTGGGAACTGTAGGTGGTTAGGGGACGGAGACTTGTTATGGTGGTTAAGTATTAGGACTAGGGGTAGGGTAGGGGTTGGGGTAGGGGTAGGGTAGGGGTAGGGTAGGGGTAGGGGTAGGGTTCCTTCTGCCAGGGAACTCAGGGAATTGTAGCTCTAGTTACGGGTTAGAGTTAGGGTTAGCGCCAGGAGCAGGGGGTAGGGCTGGGGTTCCCTTTTGCCAGGGAACTCTGGGAATTGTAGCTCTAGTTAGGGCAGGGTTAGGGTTAGGGTTAGGGTTCCTCTTGCCAGGGAACCCTGGGAATTGTAGCTCTAATTAAGGCTAAGGGTTAGGAATTAGGGTTAGCGCCAGGGGCAGGGGTAGGGCTGGGGTTCCCTTGGCAGGGAACTCTGGGAATTGTAGCTCTAGTTAGGGGCAGGGGTTAGGATTAGGGCTAGGGTTCCCTTTTTGCCAGGGAACTCTGGGAATTGTAGCTCTAGTTAAGGCTTAAAGGTTAGTGTTAGGGCTAGAGTTAGGGTGAGCGTCAGGGGTAGGGGTAGGGGTAGAGATAGGGTTCCCTTCTTGGCAGGGAACGGGGTCCCCTAACAACTCTTGGCACCCTTTTCCAACTATAGCTCCCAGAGTCTTTGGGGGTGTTTAGCCATGAGTGTTTAAAGTGGCTTCATAGCGCGTTAAATGGTGTGGATGTGGTCCTGGCTTCCTCACCCCACTGCCTCTTATTGAAGAATCGAAAGGATTTCCCCATTCAAATCTCTTGGAAACAGGAAACAGGAAACAGGAAGAAGTGAACGTGAAATACTGGCAGCGAGCAATGGACAAGGCCGTGGCCATACCTGAGAGAAGGAGCTTTGAAGGGAGACTGCAGGCGGACACCTGCTGCATTGCAAGTGATGGGGCAGTGGGGAGAGAGAAGAAAATGAGGGAGGAAACATTAGGCCACATTAGGCGCACCGTCCACTGAAAGGTCTATGAAGACACTTTGAACAGGAATGGCTTCCCCTCAGGGATTCTGGGAACTGTAGGTGGTTAAGGGGACGGAGACTTGTTATGGTGGTTAAGTATTAGGACTAGGGGTAGGGTAGGGGTTGGGGTAGGGGTAGGGTTCCTTCTTGCCAGGGAACTCTGGGAATTGTAGCTCTAGTTAAGGGTTAGAGTTAGGGTTAGCGTCAGGAGCAGGGGTAGGGTTGGGGTTCCCTTCTTGCCAGGGAACCCTGGGAATTGTAGCTCTAATTAAGGCAAAGGGATAGAAGAACGGTTAGCGTCAGGGGCAGGGGTAGGGCTGGGTTCCTCTGGCAGGGAACCTGGGAATGGCAGCTCTAGTTAGGGGGCAGGGTTAGGATTAGGGTTAGGGTTCCCTTTTTGCCAGGGAACTCTGGGAATTGTAGCTCTAGTTAAGGCTTAAAGGTTAGTGTTAGGGCTAGAGTTAGGGTGAGCGTCAGGGGTAGGGGTAGTTGTAGAGGTAGGGTTCCCTTCTTGGCAGGGGTAGGGTTGGGGTTCCCTTGGCAGGGAACTCTGGGAATTGTAGCTCTAGTTAAGGCTTAAAGGTTAGTGTTAGGGCTAGAGTTAGGGTGAGCGTCAGGGGTAGGGGTAGAGGTAGGGTTCCCTTCTTGGCAGGGAACGGGTCCCTAACAACTCTTGGCACCCTTTCCAACTATAGCTCCCAGAGTCTTTGGGGTGTTTAGCCATGAGTGTTTAAAGCGGCTTCATAGCGCGTTAAATGGTGTGGATGTGGCCCTGGCCTCCCTCACCCCACTGCCTCTTATTATTGAAGAATCGAAAGGATTTCCCCATTCAAATCTCTTGGAAACAGGAAACAGGAAGAAGAAAGACTTTGTATCTCAAGCCATTTTGGAATGTCTTAACTTGAAATGCCAATAAAGGTTTTTTATTGTATTGTGTTGTGTAGTGTTGTGATTAACATGGGAAGTAGAGTGATAAAATACGTTTGTCTTTCTGCATGCGTTTATAGTAGGCATTTTGCACTCACCTGAACCCTTGAAGGGAAAGGGGCAGACCCCCAAAACGGACTTTGGACATGCGTGATAAGCACACGAACAAGATGTAGCGTGTGCACCATTTCATGTTTTACTGGAAAACTTTAGGTCACTGTTAACTGGTAGGCAGGGCCTTGGGGGCAAATCCTCCCTTGAATCTGATTTAGGACTTCAGCACTGCCACTACAGAGTAACAGTGTCATCATAATTTCACCATGGCAACCAGCTGCTTCATTTGGCGTGGCAAGTCCCCTCCCCATGTGAAATGAAGACACTGGACACATTATTTAAGGTTAATGGGCATAAAAGGCCACAACTTTATTGATTACAGAATTGAAAGGTATTGGCCTTAGGCATTGGCTCCTATCGACTACCCGGCATGGAGACCGGGAAGGGTTTTCCACAAGCCGTGGGAGTCCTGTTGAAGTACGCCAACTAGGATCCCACGGGTGTCACCGCTCGGGGGCGTGCCAGAGGCCCTTACCTCACTAGGTTTCGGACAAGGCAACGCCCCCCGGAGTCCTCTACCGGACTACCCCTTTCATTGGGGGGAAGGTGATGGCACTTCCTTCCCCCCCATTCATTTGCATAACAATTAACCCCTGCCAATGCCTAACTGCCACTCGAGCGAAGCTCGCCGCCAATACCTTCAAACCTGTAACCAATCCCTAATCCCTGCTATGATGTCCCCTAACCAAATATCGTTTCCAGCATCTGAAAGATGCACGCCATCCCATCTGTAGAGGGCCTCGTTGCTGTACTGATTGCCAGGGTGGCCGATGACACACCCGCCCAGAGCCGCCACTCTACGCTCCACAGCCTGCTGCAAGACTTTTCTTGCTTTATTGATTCCGACCGGGCTTGAACAGTCCTTCCATATCCTCCTTTCAAGCAACGAGGACCACAATATAGTAATGTTTGGGTAAACCGCCATCAGATCAGCAAAATCGTAAAAAATGCATTCCAGGGGGTTCGATAAGCTATTTCTTAATAGGTTTAATTGGGCGTGGTGCTTCCTCTCTGCATGTCATTCCTTGAACAGCTTCCTGTGCAAAGATAAGGCTTGCTTTCATTGCTCTGTTTATTTGTGCATTTGACTAGTGTTGTGTGGAGGGAAATGCAACCACTGGGCTGAAAAATGTCCCCCTCCTGCCCTCCTGTGTTTGAAATTCTAGAATAAGAAACTGCCTCTTTCCCCTCAGCTCCTATGTCTGTTTGTGACATCACAGGAGACCATCCATAGACAGGGCTGGGGAAACTAGGCCTCAAGGGGGGGGGCGCATTTATAAATAAACAAAAGGTAACTGAGGAGCCCCCCCCCTTGTGACACGTGTGGCATGTGGACTCCATGGCATCCTCAGAAACCCTTTTTAGCACCCACCAAGGCCCCCAACACATTTTTGAAAAGTTTTCCCGAAATTTTGTTAATTTTTACAGTACTGCAAGACCGCTTGTTTTGGAAGTTGAGGGATTGGTATTATTTATTTATTTTGCCCTTTGTGAGACATAAACTGGTTCCTTTGACTTAAGGTCTCTGGATCCTTTTAAATAAAGTGATATGGACAAAATGGGTCAATTAGGAAACCTTTTTATTATACACACTTGCAAATGGGGTAAGCCAAGATCAGGCACATCTTCATTAGAAAAAATACATCTTGTCCGGCCGCAAGTCCTTCCTTCCACGTCCACAAGAAGGGGCGTGCCAGTTTACAGAAGTATCACGTCCGCCTCATTAACATTTTACCACTCCACTTCCCAAGCTAATCAGAATACAATACAATACAAATACCGTTATTGGCATTTCAAGTTAAGACATTGGGCCAGTGGCCCACAAATTCAGCTTCTCGTTCTCACAGATGCCTGTGCAAAAATTGCAAGCAGAATCTGACCACCACAGCACTCGTGATTCTCAGGAACTGATATACAGAACTATGCCGCCTCTGAACCTGGAGGTAGTATGCAGCCATCACTTGACACATCGCTGAGTTCACATGGCATCCACCTGGCTTCTTCCCCCAAAGAATCTGGGAGCTATAGTTTGGGTCATTGGGTTTGGTGCTTTTGTAACTGGATTTGTAATGGCTTTTAGTCAAATACAATAAATGATTGACTGCTTGATTGATTGATGGAAAAGTGTTTTTTTCCTGAGATGCTAACTTTCTCTCTGCATGTCATTCCTTGAACAGCTTCTTGCATAAAGATAAGGCTTGCTTTCATTGCTCTATTCATTTGTGCATTTGACTAGTGTTGTGTGGAGGGAAATGCAACCACTGGGCAGAAAAATGTCCCCCTCCTGCCCTCCTGTGTTTGAAATTCTAGAATAAGAAACTGCCTCTTTCCCCTCAGCTGCTATGTCTGTTTGTGACATCATAGGAGACCATCCATAGACTGGGCTGGGGAAACTAGGCCTCAAGGGGGGGCATTTATTAATAAACAAATGATGACTGAGGCGCCCCCCCCCTTGTGACACATGTGGCATGTGGACTCCATGGCACCCTCAGAAGACCTCCTTAGCACCTACCAAGGCCCTGACCTTCAAGGTTCCCATTCTAAAAAAGTTTTCCCAAAATCTGTTAGTTTTTACAGTGCTGTAAGACCGTTTGTTTTGGCAATTGGTATTATTTATTTATTTTTCCCTTAGTGAGAAATAAACTGGTTCCTTTAAGGTCTCTGAATCCTTTAAATAAAGTGATCTGGACAAAATGGGTCAATTAGGAAACCTTTTTATTATACACACTAACAAGTGGGGTAAACCAAGATCAGGCACATCTTCATCAGGAAAAGCTCATTTTATAAAATTGGTTGGCCAGCCGCAAGTCCCTCCTTCCACGCCCACAAGAAGGGGCATACCAGTTTACAGAGGTATCGCGTCTACCTCATTATACCTCATTAACAGTTTACCATTCCATTTCCATGTTAATCAGAATACAATACAATACAATACAAATACCTTTATTGCATTTCAAGTTAAGACATTTCAAAATGGCATGAGATACAAAGTCTTTCTTCTTCCTGTTTCCGAGAGATTTGATTGGGGAAATCCTTTCGATTCTTCATGAATAAAAGGCAGTGGTGTGAGGGAGGCCAGGGCCACATCCACACCATTTAAAGCGCTATGAAGCCGCTTTAAACACTCATGGCTTCCCCCCCCCCAAAGAATCTGGGAGCTATATAGGGTGCTGAGAGTTGTTAGGAGACCCCCTGTTCCCTGGCAAGAAGGGAACACTACCCCTACCCCTGACACTAACCCTAACTCTAACCCCAACACTAACCCTTAACCCTTAACTAGAGCTACAATTCCCAGAGTTCCCTGCCAAGGGAACCCCAACCCTACCCCTGCCCCTAACTCTAACCCTTAACCCTTAACTAGAGCCGCAATTCCCAGAGTTCCTTGGCAAGAAGGGAACCCTACCCCTACCCTAACCCAACCCTAACTCTAACCCTAATCCTAATCCTAAACCACCCTAACAACTCTCCGTCCCCTTAACCACCTACAGTTCCCAGATTCCCTGAGGGGAAGCCATTTCTGTTTAAAGCGTCTTCATAGCACTTCCAATGGACGGTGCGCCTAATGTTTCCTCCCTCATTTTCTTCTCTCTCCCCACTGCCCCATCACATGCAATGCAGCAGATGTCCGCCTGCAGTCTCCCTTCAAAGCTCCTTCTCTCACGTATGGCCACGGCCTTGTCCATTGCTTACTGCCAGTATTTCACGTTCATTTCTCCAATGTAAATAGGGACGTCCTGCGGTTCTCTTCATGACTTTTAAGGCTGGACTTGGGGAAAACCTGACCGGCTCCAGACATCCCTGTATGGCAAAGGCAAACAGGTGAGTGGGACGGCCCCCATCTGACAGCGTCCCCCCAGACTCCTCCTCTGTTTGGCTGCCTGTTCACAAACAAGGCTTCCAAACCTGTTTGCATCCATCTCAGCCAGCGTAGCCTCGCGGCATCCAATGGCCTGAATGCAAACTCTTCCGACAACCATCCACCAGCTGCAGCCTCGCCAGGTCCATTGCCAGACATCAGCCAGCTTCAGAGCTGAATATCAGTCGCCTTCTAGTAGCGACCCCACCAGCAAGTAAACTTTGTACTTGCCTTCTCCTTGCTCCACAGCATCCCAGCACCGGGCGATTGGCTCCTTCCGCTTGCCAGCTTCCCGCCACAGGCAGAAGACCACCTGGGCTGAGTGTCACCAAGCTGCCCATTTCTCTCTGGGGAGGGCAACTGCCGAGGCTTGCGCCTTGGCCCACATTTATACCCGCTCAGCAGCCAAATGTTTTTGTCACATCACAGTCAACCCACAGACAATGGCAGCAGCTGGGGAGGCATCACCATCACCCTCTCAGCCCTCACAATGGTGAGCACAGCTTAGCAGCCAAAATACACACACACACACAACTTGTGCCAATATCTGTGGAGGCCACACCGGAAACCCAAAGGGGCAGGAGGGGGACATTTTTAGGCCCAGTGGTTGCATTTCCCTCCACACAACACTAGTCAAATGCACAAATGAACAAAGCAATGAAAGCAAGCCTTGTCTTTGCATAGGAAGCTGTTCAATGAATGACTTGCAGAGAGAAAGTTAGCATCTCAGGAAAAAACACTTTTTCATCAATCAATCAATCAATCAATCATTTATTGTATTTGACTAAAAGCCATTACAAATCCAGTTACAAAAGCACCAAACCCAATGACCCAAACTATAGCTCCCAGATTCTTTGGGGGAAGAAGCCAGGTGGATGCCATGTGAACTCAGCGATGTGTCAAGTGATGGCTGCATACTACCTCCAGGTTCAGAGGCGGCATATTTCTGTATATCAGTTCCTGAGAATCACAAGTTCTGTTCAGATTCTGCTTGCAATTTTTGCACAGACATCTGTGAGAAAAAGATGCTGAACTTGGGCCACTGGTCTGATCCAGGCAGCTTTCTTGTGTTACCAAGGAAGACTTCCAAGAGAATACTTTTAATGTAGCACTCCAAGAAATGCTGCAAGTTTCAGAAAGTCACATAATGCACTCCAAAATCAGAAATTTTGAAACCATTTCAGCACTGTGTCATTTTACTTTCTCCCTGCATCTCTTATCTGAACTATGTACTTGCAGTTTCTTTGAGTATGTTTTTTTCCCAATCTAATTTTATTTGGTAGCCATTTCTCCCATTCCGAGGAACAAAAACATTCGTAGTTCTCAGTGTCCCTGACTTAAGAGTCTGATTCCACTGCCCTGCCTACCAAGCGCTCACTGGCTGGTGTGCCTTTCCACTGTAGGGAGATCAGAAGAGGACCGTTACATTGGCAGAAGCCTAAGCAGCCACGAGCCTGTTATTCAGACACAAGGAAATTGTTTTAGTCATTTATTCTTATTTTTAATTACTTGGCACCACAGGCATCAGGGGTAGGGTTCCCTTCTTGCCAGGGAACTCTGGGAATTGTAGCTCTAGTTAGGGGGCAGGGTTAGCATTAGGGTTAGAGTTAGTGTTAGCATCAGGGGTAGGGGTAGGGTTAGGGTTCCCTTCTTGTTAGGGAACTCTGGGAATTGTAGCTCTAGTTAGGGGGCAGGGTTAGCATTAGGGTTAGAGTTAGTGTTAGCATCAGGGGTAGGGGTAGGGTTAGGGTTCCCTTCTTGCCAGGGAACTCTGGGAATTGTAGCTCTAGTTAGGGGGCAGGGTTAGCATTAGGGTTAGAGTTAGTGTTAGCATCAGGGGTAAGGGTAGGGTTAGGGTTCCCTTCTTGCCAGGGAACAGGGGGTCTCCTAACAACTCTCAGCACCCTTTTCCAACAATAGCTCCCAGATTCTTTGGAGGAAGAAGCCATGAGCATTTAAAGCGGCTTCATAGTGCTTTAAATGGTGTGGATGTGGCCCTGGCCTCCCTCACTCCACTGCCTCTTATTCATGAAGAATCAAAAGGATTTCCCCATTCAAATCTCTCGGAAACAGGAAACAGGAAGAAGAAAGGCTTTGTTTCTCATTCCATTTTGAAATGTCTTAACTTGAAATGCCAATAAAGATATTTGTATTTGTATTGTATTGTATTGTATTGTATTGTATTGTATTGTATTGTATTGTATTGTATTATGATTAACATGGAAGTGGAATGGTAAACTGTTAATGAGGCGGACTCGATACTTCTGTAAACTGGCACACCCCTTCTTGTGGGCGTGGAAGGAGGGACTTGCGACAGGACAAGCGACTTTATAAGATTTGTTTTTCCTGATGAAGATGTTCCTGATCTTGGTTTACCCCACTTGCAAGTGTGTATAATAAAAAGGTTTCCAAACTGACCAATTTTGTCCATATCACTTTATTTATTTATTTATTTTTAATGATATTTATTAAAATTTCAAGAAAAAGATTACATTGATAAGAAAAATAACAATAGAAAAAAGAAAAATACAAAGTACACACACACAAAAAAACAATTAAAAACAATTCCATCTTTTCATCACTTCTCTTACATTTACTTATTTCCCGGACCTCCTCATACCTCCCTTTTTTGTATTCCAATTCAATTTATTAATCCAGCAATTCCTTTCCCTCCTTTTTAATCCTGATCTTTAATCTTAATATATTATAGCATTAGGTTTTTACGTATTGAAAACCAATTTTTCCATATTCTTTTATACCATTACAGCTAGAAACCACTTAACTTCAATCCAACATCATTCTAACATTCATTAATTTTACAATATTTCTGTAAGTAGTCTTTAAATTTCTTCCAATCTTCTTCCACCGACTCTTCTCCCTGGTCTCGGATTCTGCCAGTCATTTCCGCCAATTCCATGTAGTCCATCATTTTCATCTGCCATTCCTCCAGTGTGGGTAGATCTTGTGTCTTCCAGTGCTTTGCAATAAGTATTCTTGCTGCTGTTGTAGCACATATCACTTTATTTAAAAGGATCCAGAGACCTTAAGTCAAAGGAACCAGTTTATTTGTCTCTCACGAAGGGCAAAATAAATAATACCAATCCCTCAACTGCCTAAACAAGCGGTTTTGCAGCACTGTAAAAACTAACAGATTTTCGGAGAAACTTTTTAAAAATGGGAGGGTCAGGGGGCCTTGGTGGGTGCTAAGGAGGGTATCTTAGGGTGCCATGGAGTCCACATGCCACACGTGTCACAAGGGGGGGGCTCCTCAGTTACCTTTTGTTTATTTATAAATGCGCCCCCCCCTTGAGGCCTAGTTTCCCCAGCCCTGTCTATGGATGGTCTCCTGTGATGTCACAAACAGACATAGGAGCTGAGGGAAAAGAGGCAGTTTCTTATTCTAGAATTTCAAACACAGGAGGGCAGGAGGGGGACACAGTGGAAGCTCCACAACCTGTAGCAGGGATAAAACCCGGAGGGACCTGAGCAGTTAACAGATTAGCCCAAGAAACTCCACCCAGAGTATCCCTTTGAGGTTCAAAACGTTGAAATAGGACATCAAAGTCAGAGACAAAACACGACAAAGCTCCGGGGTCTTGGGCCATACTGGCCATCAGGGACCCCAATAGATCCTCGGTGTGCCCTGTGGATGTGGAAGCTCGCAAACTTTGTCTGGGTGTCTGTACCTTTAGTTGAGTGCTTATTTGCAGCAGAAGCAACTTTGGCTGGCATTTTCTTCTTAGGAGGCATGCCGCTGGACCCTAAGAAACAACAAGCAAACAATTAATTTCTTTTATGCCGAATTGACGCAGCAGTGGACACTAAATATTGTGAACCACCAAATAGAGCCAATAAGTAACAAATAATTAAATCCAGCCAACAAGACTGATCAGGTAGAAATTAAATGACCCTGCTACCAATAATAAAGGCGTCAGTTTTTCGCCCCATAAGACGTACCTGACCATAAGACGCAGCTAGTTTTTAGAGGAGGAAAACAAGAAAAAAAATTATTCTGAACGAAACAGTGGATGTATGATTTTTGTGGTTCATGCTGTGGCCACAAACATGATTTGATGGTGAGTTTGGAGAATCCATGTGGATCCGTGCTTTGTAATCACGTTTTTGCGTCATTTCAGCCCCACGAAACAGTGGATGCATGATTTTTTTTGGTGCAGGCTGTAGTCATGGACATGCTCTGTGATCTGATGGTGAATTTGGGGTGCAAAAATTTAGCCCCCACAAAATTTACCTCCGCACCCTAAAACCTTGTATTGAAGGCGCAAAGTAAGCAAAGCCCAAAAATGGAGCCACAGAATCACTGGGAGAAGTGACGGCCCCGACCAAGTCACAAACGCCACACCACGGACCTGTGAATTAACTGGAGAGGCATCAGGCCCGACAGAAGCCGTATTTGGAAAGAACGAGCAACTCAAGGCAGCTCAAGACGATGCAAAATGGAAAGGTCATGGCAAACCGTAAAAGGCTCCACGGAAACAATCCAGACAGAGCTCTGTGGTCAGCAGCGCAAAGCAGGTGCTTGGCACACGTCGTGCTGCCACTTTTATACTTCCCCCCCATGATCACCTATTCAAATTGATTGGGCAATAGTGCTGGGTAATCGTGGTGCCACCCTGGTGTGAGGGTAATGGCTCCATCCACGCCAGGGTTGGGGGACTGGGTTGAGGGCCTGCCTGCAACCAGGACCATCTATTAAGATGATCCCACTTGCTATCTGGAATGCTCGCAATGGGGGGGGGGACCTTAGCTGCACACCCACCTCCCCTCATTTGGTGGGGGGGTCTCTCCCTCCCCCACCTGCCCAGCAGCTTCCCTCCCTACTATCTCCCCCTCCATTAGACCTTAGACTTAAGACTTTTTCTGCCACCAGGTGTGGCTTCTGAGAGAGAGAAGCCGAGTGAACAAGACAGGCATCATACTGCCTCTTTCCCTCTCTCATAGCTCTTCCTATGCTTGTTTCTCTTAGCTGTTTCCTAAGGAGGGATCTACTGCTAGTGATTTCAATGACTGGCTAAGCAGGAGCGAAAAGCCTCCTAGTCATTGGAAGTGTACTTATATTATTGTGGAATCAGAAGTGTGGGCTCATGGTCGGCCCTTCAGTGATGTGGTGTCATTTATATATAACATTTATATTGACTAGGGATGGGTGAATAAGTTAATTTCTGTTGCTCCGAATTTCTCATTTTTCCAAACTTAAGTTCTCCCCATTTCTACATCAGTTTGCAGATTGTTTAATATCTAATATTGTTTGAATGCAATTCTGTATAACAGACACATTTTTTGCAACGCAAATCCCCATAATATAATGTAATCCCTCCCACATGAATATATGCACTTTTTGCATGCTTTACCCAAGTATATGCATTTTGGTACATGCTATTTGGCTGAAGAACTGTATTGCAAAATTCAAAGATGTTCAAACTTTGAAGGATAGCTGTTGCTTTAAATATTATTTCAGAATGTGTGAATTATACAGATTCCTTTTTAAATGGAAACTGAATAGAATTCATCCCCCATTGCCAATAACCAGTGTGGAATTCATTGCAGATTCTTTGGTGGTTCAGCTTGGCAAGATCAGAACGCAGCCCTACATCTCTGGGGGGCTGGTGGTTTCATTGGGTCCAGCATAAAGTGTGAGCTGCTACACCTGCTATGAAGCACCCAAAATACACGTCTTTGCCACTGAAGCTGTTATAACCGACAAATGGTATGAAATAGACCAATTTAAAAATGAATGGATTATATGAATGGATAGTGCATGGAATTACTAAGCAAAAAAGGAGGCTGAAGAGGAGCCAAAGTCCTCTTTTTATGGGTGATGCAAAACGAACAAGACTAAATGAAAAATCACCCACAAGGAGTTAAAAGCTCTCAAAATATTAGTTGCCTAGAAGAGATGTTAAAATAAATTATTCCTCTTTTATGCGAAAAAAATCTGAGGATTTCTGATTTGCACCCAGACCTTTTCATTATTCTCCAACTGTGCAGAGCAGCAATAGCTTGAATAAATTTTGACTGAGCAATATTATTATTTAAAGTCTTTTTGCTTAATGTAATCATTTACACAACTATCACGACTTTAGCCCTTATATCCAAAGAACATTTCCTTTTCACCCCCTGCACTCATTTTCCTTTGCATAGCAAGAGTTGTGCTTCAGATTAATACTTTAAAATATAATGAAATTTCTTGGGTTGGAGGTTTCTTTTTTAATACATATAAAGAGAAGCCATTAATTGTTGTGAAGAGCTTATGAAACTAGGGCGTATTGAATCTAGCTCAGATATAAGATTTAAATGTCTTAATGGGATTGTTTTTAGTGTGTATTTTAATTACGGATGTTTATATTTTAACATTTGTGTGACTGGTTTTATATTCTAAATCACTTAGAAGCCTATACTGGCATTAACGGTTATATAAATTAGCACAACAGCAAACATAGTCAACAGGGTGCCCAGCAAATACCGTATTTTTTGCTCTATAAGACTTACTTTTTCCCTCCTAAAAAGTAAGGGGAAATGTGTGTGCGTCTTATGGAGCGAATGCAGGCTGTGCAGCTATCCCAGAAGCCAGAGCAGCAAGAGGGATGTGCAGCGATCCCTCTTGCTGTTCTGGCTTCTGAGATTCAGAATATTTATTTTCTTGTTTTCCTCCTCCAAAAATTAGGTGTGTCTTGTGGTCTGGTGCGTCTTATAGAGTGAAAAATACGGTATTTTGGATGCTAACTGTTATTACCCCAGACCATTGGTCATGCTGGCTGGGACAGATGGGAGTTGGAATCCAACAATATTTGGTGGGCACCTTGTTGGCTATCCCTGTCATACATGCTACCCGGAGATCTTTGGAGAATGAGTAGAATTCAAACATGATATCCACCGTGGTAGATCAATTGCACAACCCATTTCTATTGCTCCTGCATCAAGGCCCACATCAAGATCTTTATCTATTGCTGTTTACAAAAGCTTGGAACAGAATCTCTGTTGATGGTATGCAAATTCGTGACTAGGGCTAGCCTAGGGCTCTTTGACACCTGAGGCAAAACACAAAATGGCATCCCTCTTGCTAGGGAAGAAGGTGATTGACCATCTACATCAGGATAACATCTGTCTTTCCTATTTGTCAAGAGGCCACCATAGAGGTAGCAAGGGGGGCTACCATGTGAACTCTATGATCCCTATGAATCCTGATGCCTCAGGCAGTCTCCTCACCTTGTCTCATGGGTAGGGCATGTTTATGACAGCATTCTGGCTGAGGCCAGTGATGGGAATCCAACCAGTGCTTTTCCCTTGGGGTATTCAAGGGTATGCAGTACTGGTACCTTTTTCCTAGAAGAAAAACACTGAATCCAACAATCTTTGAAGGGCCACAAATCGCTCATCCCTGCTTTTAGAACAATAACACCAAACACTGGCTATCCCCCCCCCCCTCCATTTTGTCAATATTTTTCTACTTCAGTAATCTGTGTTGGGTATGAAATATCATTTTGCAGTATAATATAATATTTTCTTAAAACATGAGACAATCTTTTGTTAAAGATGCAAAGTTATTCTTGTGCTTACTATAACTTTTGGGTTCTTCTTGACTCTCACCCCCCCCCCCATATTTGACTTCAACTAGATTAGATTGAGTTGTATTTTATGACTCTTTTGCCTGTTGCAACCTAAGTAAATTGATGCTATGATTTATATTTTATGTATATTTGACAGCAAAAGCAAACCAATAAGTTGTATCCAATTGGCCTAAGCAGCAGCTCATTTCAGATAGTTGAAATCTTGTGGTTTTAGAATAGTAAATGAAGAGGGGGGGGAGTGGGTGATCTGAGCACAGTCATTTATTTAAAACAGATATTCTAAAGTTTTCTACCCATTCGAAAAGTCCACACAATAAAACAGGTGTTGTTTGAGGGGGAAACGGTGTTTGCTTCTTTTGCATAATGCATTAGATGACTCCCAGAGAAGTTCTTCAAGTAATCTGAAGCCACAGTCTTGGAGACAAAATGGACTTTTTGGAGATTTGGCATAGGGGAGCTCTTGGCTGAAGACAGAAAATGAATCACATTAGGGCAGAACCATAGCAATGAGAGAATATCATTTTTTTTCCAGAACTGGCTTAATTACTCCAGAAAGGTAAACAAGAACTCTGATGGATGAAGCCTAACGGGCATGTGTGCAAACACTTGTATGCAGGCGAGGGGCTATGCTCAGTGGAAGAGCATCTGTCTTGCATGCGGAAGGTCCCAGGTTCAATTATTGACATCTCTAGGTAGTGTTGGAAGTGTTTCCTGTCTGAACTCCTGGAGAGTGGCTGTAGACAATACTGAGCAAGATGTATGAGATGTCTAGCTTAGGGTAAGGCAGCTTCCTATGTGCAGAAATATTGGGTTTTTCACAGGTGCTTCCAATCTGTACCAGTTGTGCTTGTGTTCACTCTGGGTGGCTTCCAACAAAATATTAAAAATACAATAAATGAATAGGTTGCAACGAATACAATGGTACCTCGGGTTAAGTACTTAATTCGTTCCAGAGGTCTGTTCTTAACCTGAAACTGTTCTTAACCTGAAGCACCACTTTAGCTAATGGGGCCTCCTGCTGCCGCCGCGCTGCCGGAGCCCGATTTCTGTTCTTATCCTGAAGCAAAGTTCTTAACCTGAAGCACTATTTCTGGGTTAGCGGAGTGTGTAACCTGAAGTGTATGTAACCTGAGGTACCACTGTACTGTACTTTCAACAGCAGAGAGGAACAAGTTGGGCTGGAGACACCAACATCCCACTGGTTGTCCAGTCTCCTTCTCAGTGCTTCTCCTTCAGTCGGTGGTGTGAGAATCTTAGTGCTCACCAGTAAAAGAGCCTGACCAATGGAAGGACACAAGGTGGGAGATATGCTGAGCTGCTTGGTGTGTTTGTTACAGATCTACTACACCCGCAAGCATAAAAGGTAAAGGTAAAGTACCCCTGGACTCTAGGCAGCACAGCCAGTGGGATGAAGCACCACTGCTGTTGGAGTTTGGATCAGATCTTTAGGCTACAAATTATTCATGTTTGGATAAGGGAAGTTTCATATAACCAACATTCGGATTGCAGGACCTGGATGTATAGAATGCCACTAGATCAGTGGGTCTCAAACTACTTTTATTCTTTCAGAATAAAAATTTGCTTGCCAAATCTTTTATTGATAAGAAATACATTGCATTTAAAAACAAAAAGAAGCAATTCCCAGCAGTGCTTGATTAATAACATGGGACACAACCACTTTATAATACAATCGTGGGACATCCAGGAAGTATAAAACAATGCAACTACATAAGAACATGAGTCATTCCCAAAATAAAATATTAATTGTCCTTGACTCTTCCTGTCACCCCATCCTATTCTGCCATGCCCGTGTGGTGCACCACGCCCTTTGAGAACCACTGCTCTAGGTAATTAGTCCCACTGCCAAACTACTCTTACTATCCAGAAGGTTATTCTAACATTTAAATATAATCTCCCTTGTAATTTAACTGCATTAGATATAATTTTGTCCTCATGCGGAACAGACAAGAAGCATTTGCCCTTTTCTATGCAACAGCTCTTTAGGTGTCGGTGACTGGACAGAGGAGGAATGGTAGAGACTGCTACCCCCTCATGAACCTTCCAGAGATGAGGAAGACCGTATAGATTTACAGCAGTAGTTTAAGGACGGTCACAGCTCAGAGGTAGATAAAGATCAGAGTTGGGAAATAATGGGGGAAGAAGGGGGGAAGCAGTGTCAGAGTAGATGGCTGACACATTTATTACTAGAAAGCATTCCAGAATCACCATCTCCCATCACCTGGCGAACCTTAAAAGTAGGAGAGCAGAGGGCTCATACGCAAATGGCCCTAAGCAGCCACCGTAAGGTGAGTGGTGCTATTGACGACTGAAGAGAGGGGGGTGGAGTTTACTTGGAGCAACGCCATTACTCCAAGATGAAGCATTTCTTAGCCTCTCTCTGAATATTGAATAAAATAACTTGGTAAGAGCTTTCCTTGCTTATCTCTTCCTGGGAACCCACCGTGGGGGGGGGGGGGTCTAAGAGAGTCTAAGTCTAAAAGAGAGGCCAGGGTGATGTCCACCGTTTCCAGGAACTGTTCTCATTGTTATACTTTTGTGAGTGAGCTGAGAGTTTGTTTGGACCCTGGGTGAGAATCTGGAGGCTGAGGGAGGGTGTGTTCCAAGGGAAATGAATATAACTTTTTATTCAACTTTTTATATGTAACTGTGTATTTTTGTAATATTTTGTTTCAGTTTTCTGTTGTTGCTGCATCAGATATATTTTTAATGCATTCAGTGGTATAGAAATTAAATAATCAATCAACTACATAATTTCAGTCACTGTTCGACAAGATGATTATTTCCTCCCTTCTTTTTCAAAGAGTACCTGTGACTTCTTAAGCGAGATTGCTGCTTTAAATATAGCTGTTGACCTTTCGTTCAATTGTTTGCATGTTAGCAACATGAATCAGCGAAAGCAGGCATTCAGCCTTAGTACTAAATCATATAAATATGTATTGGACAGCACCAATTCAATTAAATGGAATTCAACAGGACTGGGTAGCCTTCATTGTTTCAGAAAAGAATATAGTGACTGGACTACTTCTTGGAGTTACTTTCACAACAAGATGCTGCTTGAGTGGCAGCCTACTGAAACTCTTCTGAATGTTGTGTTCTTCATTGGCTTTTGAAAAAGGGCAGGTAAGTAAAGTGACTAACAGTTCATGGATGGGTGAGTTTAAAAAAAAAACGCATGTAAGAATGTTTCGCAGTATGCTTATCTCTCAGTGAATTCAACTGTCCCTCTCATAGAATAGGTGTCTGCAAACCAAACACATTTGGCAGCATTTACTGTCTGGAACGTGGACGTGGGTGGCGCTGTGGGTTAAACCACAGAGCGTAGGACTTGCCGATCAGAAGGTCGGTGGTTCAAATCCCCGCGACGGGGTGAGCTCCCGCTGCTGGGTCCCTGCTCCTGCCAACCTAGCAGTTTGAAAGCACGTCAAAGTGCAAGTAGATAAATAGGTACCGCTCCGGTGGGAAGGTAAACGGCATTTCTGTGCGCTGCTCTGGTTCGCCAGAAGTGGCTCAGTCAAGCTGGCTACATGACCTGGAGGCTGTACGCCGGCTCCCTCAGCCATAAAGCGAGATGAGCACCGCAACCCCAGAGTCGGCCACGACTGGACCTAATGGTCAGGGGTCCCTTTACCTTTACCTTACTGTCTGGAAAGCTATTGACCTCTGTTTATATAGGGAAAGCGGTGCATGAGCATCTAATATGCATACAAATGTATCATTAACAACACCAGGAGAAGAAGAAAAAACATTGGGAGGGGTCTTGTGAAAAAAAGTATTGTTGGCTCCCAAGTTTTGCAAAATAAATAAATATATAAAATAAACACACACTGTGCTGCTATAAAAAGATGGGAGTGATAGAACACTCTCCTATCAAACCCTTTACTGAAACTCTTCTGGAAAACCTCCTGGGAGAACATTATCTTCAGCTGCCGGGGACCAAAATGTTTTTGCATATTCAAGAGCATTGCAGTAATTTCATTCCTTTTAAGCAGTAAAAAGTAACAAGTGCTTTAACAAGTTTTAATTTCAAGGTGTTATTGGAATAAGAAAATTGGTGTCTGGTGTGTTGGGAGCAGTCTACCTTACTTAATGCCCATCTGGAATGTTTCCTTGTTCAACATCTCATTCTTTTCCAGGGGGAGAAGAGAAAGAACGTTCTGGTTGTGAGGAAAAAGAAATCAAGCCTAGTAAAATAGGAACACACCCACACACACCAGTTTTCTATGCAGATGTGTGGGTGTGCACATGTGTAGGAACATTGCTATTTCATGTGTTATTTGTGAGATTAAAGCCTCAGATAATAATCATAAGAGTTTTGCGGGATCGGACCAAAGTCCTTTCTAGTCCAGCATTCTGTTTCCACACCACTCAACCAGATGTAAATGGAAAGCCCCCAAAACAGGATTTGATGGCGACAGCACCCAGCCCTATCTGTGATCCGCAGAACCTGGTTTCCTGAGGCATGCAGCACACAGTCTCCGATACTGGAAACAATATATTGCTATAAATACTGTAGGAATTATGTTACTGGCAATAGTCTTTAATTTGTTCAACCCCACATTAAAGGCATCCACGTTCACAACCATCACTGCAACTTGTTACAGCCAATTCTATGGTTTAAACTAATAGGCAACATCAAGTACTTTCTTCCTGTGTTCCTTGAATCTCCCAGCATTCAACTTCACTGAGTGGCTCTGGGTTTGAGGTGAAAGGAGGTTGCCCTCCCCCACGTGCCACAGTTGAAACTGCTTGTGGCCACGCCCCCAGCTGTGCTGATTGAAGAGCTGGGTGCGTGACACGGCTGGGAGTCCCCGTGACGTGGATAGCATTCCTTCAACATCCAGCTGGGTCACTAGGGGGTTCCGGATGCCAGTCTGCAACACTCTCCCCCTGGGAAGGGGAGCAGACTACTTACCCATTTGCTTATCTAAGAATCTAGGTCTTTTTTAGGGCCATGTGAATAGATGTCAACAGCTGTAATTCAAAATACATTTGCATTGAAGCAGGAATGGGGAACATTTGGCTCACCAGATGTTGCTGAACCACCACTCACATCAGCCCTAGAAAGCATGGCCGATGTCCAGGGATGATGAGAGTTGTGGTTCAGTAATAACTGGCGAGCCAAAGGTTTCCTGCAGCCACTTTAACAACAGGATATCCTGTGATCCTTCTGCCATGAAAGCAACTTTAAAACAAGCAAGCAAGTTGCATCAGAAGCCCCACCCCCCACCCCCACCGTCATGCAAGGCTCAGTAATGTCCACAGTGCCTGGCAATGGTTTGCCAGGATTTCAGACAGGGCATACTCCCAGCCCCATCTGGAGATGCCTGGGATTGTACTTGGACCTTCTGTGTGAAAAGCAGTTGCTTTACTACTGAGCTATGGCTCTTTCCGCAGTGGTCTCCCTCTCCCTCCCACGTGATAATTGAATGTTGTATATATGTATGTATGTGCGTATGTATGTGTAGCAGAATCAATGCATCTCAGTGTCATTTTAGCCAAATGACACGAAGGGGAAAACTGTAGAATGCTGTCCTAATACCAACTTTATTATCATTATGTTCATTGCTGCAAGGCACAAGAGAAACCCTCATCATGCGCTTATTTAAAAATAAATGAATTGATAATGCCCTTAATCTGCTGCTAATCTAATAATGTCCTTGCATAATTAGATGTTATGAATGTGAACTGTTGATTGGACATATTGTTGAGAGATTAAAAATAAATGAGGAGGTAGTGGCTGCATTATAATTATGCATGGATTAGTTTCGCCACTGGCTGATTATTGGAAAAGGGCTATGATGAAGGGATGTATATATATGTATATAAATCAGGGAAAAAATTCTTCAAAGGTGTAATCAATCCGAGGATCTGGAACAGTTTCCGTTTGCAATCTGGGTAGAAGGGGAAATAGAAACTTAATCATTTTTCTATTGCAAAATCTGATACAGGAATGATTGGTCAGTTAGAAAACCAGCAACCATGAATGGCATTTGTACCAAACATCTTAAAAATATTTTAAGACCACAAATTGTCTTCACCTGGTACTGAAAAGGCTATAATGTAGGCACCAGGTAAGCCTCTCTATGGGGGCATTCCATGGGCCACCACTGAAAAGTCCCTATCCCCACGAGACACCCACCATTGTTTCACGGGGACACCTAGAGATGGGCTTCAGAAGATGACCTTGAAATCTATAGAGGAATATGATGGACACAGCCCTTTAGATAACCTGAACCCAAGCTCTTTGTGGTTTTAAAGGTTGATTACAGCAATTTGAATCACCTATAGAAATGGACAGGAGGTCAATGCTAAAGGCAAAATACCGATGTACTATGGGTGACTTGGCCAATCCCATATCGGTAACCCATTTTGGACCAACTGAAGTTTCCAGGCTGCTTCCAAAGGTAGCCTGACATATAACACACTGCAGATATCGTAAACAGGTCTGATTCACACAACCATATACTTATCACCTGATTCGCCACACAAATGGTTACAGCTGCCTGTGTGATCTGGCTCCATTGAAAAACATTGTATTGCAAGCGTTCTTCCTGTGGTGTTATACCGGTGGCAGCCCATTCAGACCACGTTGTCACTTGACATTGGAGTCCTTCAGTGATGCATGTGTGAACCTAGCAAAAAGGTTGTAGAAGGGTATCAGTGGGCTTGTGTGTCGCATTTCCACCACAATTGCTATACAGACACACTTGCTTTCCCCACCCATTGCTTGAGCTCCATGCACATTGTGGCATGTGGCTATAGTTCGATTGGGAGCTACAACAGCTTGGTGGTTAGAATCTAAACCTCTCCGGTTCCGCAACTGGATATAGATTTATCAGAGAGTCAGACCAGGGCTGGATCTAGATACATCAAAGGAGCATTTGTTAAATGTGTTGCAAACTTTGTATGAGAGATCAGGTTAGCAAAAACGGAACTCCACAGCGCCATCTGGTGTCACAGTGCATATCCAACACACATAAAGCACTTTTTCTTTGCCAGTGTAGCTGAGTCCTGGGACTGGGGAAACCAAGGTTCAAGTCCTCATACAGTCACAAAGCCCCCACTGGATAACCTAGTCAATACCTCATCCTGACACTTCTGAGTTTCTGGGAGAATAACAGAAGAGTAATCCATGCCTGTGACCCTGAGCTCCTTGGAGGTAAGATAGGATGAAAGTGTATTGCTGATTGATTGAGGTGGTACATATGTGACCCTCCAGATGCTGTTGGACTTCAGCTCCCAATTTTATTAATGAAAGTTGCTAGAGATATCATTCTTCAGGGCTTGTCTCTTCCCCCCCTTTTTTGGGGGGAGGGGGATCTGAAACTCTTCTTAAGTCAGTGTATTTTGGCCTCTGGGGTGCATCTTATATTGGTGATGACAACACAGCTGGAAATGTGGGGGCAACAGGCCCACCCCTGCTCTCTGCCTTGTGTGACTCTTAAGTGGGTGGGGTGGGTGGGGGGTGTTTGAGGAAGAGATTCTAAAAGAGAGTTACTTGCCCTTTCTGTTTTGTGTTTATAACACATTTAGCTGTCCTGCCTTTATTTAAGACTGGTGCAGAAAA